TACAGGGCCTAGCAAAAAGTGTTGTATGCACAGCTTATAGAAAATTTATTACCTTTTAAAAGCTTCAAACCGTTTTGGAATTGCTTAATTCGTTCTTGAGATATATATGATTAAGTGGACCCAATTTTTTTTTTTTTGCAAAAACGGTAAATTGCAAATATCTCAAAAACGGTACCATAAAATTAAAAATAACCTTGATTTTCGGAATCAGGGGGTGATTTTACATACGAATTTCATAACGGCGTCTCTGGTAAATTTTGGCCGTCGACCAGTGCTATCTATCTATGCAACCTTATTTCACACCGCGTTAATACTAAGCATGGGTTAAATTTACTCACTTGCCCTATTTCTAAAACGATACATATGTTTTTTTTTTTTTTTTAATTAAACATATATTCACATAACGGTGTTGTGCATTTTGTTTCATTCAAAATATGTGTTATGCAACACAAAACACAAAGTGTGAAACTTTGGTTTACACATTTTTAGTTAGGGAATAAACTATATTTTTATTAAAAAAATAGCTTAAATTATATAACAAAAAATAAATTGATAAAACTTGTCAATATGTTAAAGCGTTAAAAATACTTACGAAAAAGTTACCTATTTGCCACCATGTAAACAATTAGCTATAGGCAAAAATCGTCAATGGCAATAAATTGACGACTCGCCGATTTATTGCCGCGGTGAAAAACCGGCACCATCATTTCTTTCATGTCAAGTTTGGAATAAATAAGTTATCAAAATTTCCCAAACTTATAAATTTCAGGTTTACAGTATTATCCAAACAGTATTATCTAATTTATACCGAAGACAGGATTGAAAAAATAGGAATCCCTATAGCGAAAGAAAGAATTCATTCCGTTTCTAAGTTCCAATTTTGTATACAAAAAAAAAAAATGAAGTATTAAATAGAAAAAAATTATTCCAAATATCGCCTGAAGCGATAAGAAAACGCCTCACACAAGTAATAAGAAAACGACTCCCCAGGCGAGTTTCCTTCGGCGGACGTTTTAGAGCGACTGGTAATAAGAAATCGATACGATGGCGATATCACCAGCAATAAATTTGTTTCCGAGGGCGACACGTTTTCTTATTGCCGGCGACAAAAATTGTTTGGTGGGTAATTTTTAATACACACACACAGATCTTTGAAGACTTGTAATCGATATTTGCACTATTTCTGGAACGAAAATGTCAATACTGCAAGAACAAAGTTGTGCG